CCCGAAACGTCAGCCTTCCTGCTCGGCCTGCTGTGTTCATCCAGCTCTACACCTTGTTATCTCAGATTCTCCAGCATCTGCAGTTCCTACTATCTCTGATACAGTATCTGTGGATCAGTTATAGAACAACAACAAAGGAGGGTGCTCCTCCTCAGATGAATTTACATTTTCAGTTAGGAAATTTTATTTCTTATACTAACTGGGAAGTAAAAAGACATCTTGCTACAACATATAACCTGCTGGGGACATGTCATGGGAAATGTTTTTAGAACATCAGTCAATTTTGCTCATAGAAAATATTAACCAACTGTCACCCATTGTCAGCATTAGGCATTTCCTAAGTCAGCATTTATATCAGTGTCTGCAGAAAGCTCTTTTCACTGCACCCAAACAATATGTCTCAGTCTCAATCCAAGTCACTTCTACACCACACCAGTATGACACTTCGTCATTTTGACTTTTTATATGGCCGTTCTGGTTGGAAATACCAAATCAGAGCTCATTAACAGCAATTTTGTTACATACTTTACAACCATCCTCTGAACTTCCTTCAGAGTTGACAAATACATCATTTAAACCCCGTACTACCACTAGACAGAGGAAACAGGCAATTGCTCTGGGCTGTATTCATTCCAGGCAACAGATTGATGAGTCACTGCACCATCTAATTCCTCTGCCTCTTTAACGGTCACTGTTATAAACAGATTTTGTCTGTCTTACTCGCTCCAACAACTTCTGCAATTTCAGAGTTTGTTCCTCTCGTAGTTTTTCACGGAGTTGTTGAGCTTTTAGCTGCTTTTCTTCATGTTTCTTTTTTGACTCTGCAATTGTCCTGTCAGCAGGAAATTTGAAAGAGAGAGTCCATTACCAGACAGATCAAATGCTTTTACATATAAAATGCTTAAAATCCAGTACATTAGTATAGTCTGCAGATTGCAGCATGCAATATAAAACGTTAGCTAATCATGAATCACATGCTCCAGTAAAGACTGAAACAACAAAAGATTGAAATAACAATCCTAATCACATTTTCCTCGATGGTGAGGAAAGCTTTTCATGCATCTGGATGGCGTGTCCAGGTGGTCGTGCTGGCTCCTCCTCCACAATATCTCCCCATGAAGTACTCTGTCTCCAAGGTTCACGTGCTACAAAGAATAAAATATAAAAATAAGAAGAAATTAAATGCCAATGTAGTCAATTAACATACAGAGATGTTTGCTCTGAAGAAGGTTGCCACTTGAAATATTAACCCATATTTTCCTTCCTTTCACTTGCTGACCAGTTCTGCTGCGTAATTTCTGGTTTTTTGTGATATCGTGAATTACAGAACATTTCATCAAAAATCCACTTGAATAAAGAATAATCTCCTAGTTTGTTTAGTTAAAATCCATGGATAACATGCCTTGAGAGTTTACACATCTCTAAAATGCAGTTTTAATCAGATGTCACAAACTAACTTGTTGAACATAACCAAATCCTGTCAGTCCACATGTATAATTCTGAACAGTAACTTGTACAATTACACCAAGCTTGTAACTGACATTCAAGATTCAACTCCGGTTATGCCTGGGGTAAAACAATTTAAATAAAATAGACACCATAGTAACGCTAATTTTTTTTATTGCTCATCTGCTCTAAAACGCCAGTTTTCAGCAGAAAAATGCAAGTTATATCAAAACATCCTCAACTGGAAAAATATATTGACTTTCACAACGAATAGGCTGGTGAACAGTTATCAGGCAGGCATTTCGTAAATAGATTGAAGTAATAGATCATACAAACATCACCCATCAAACAAATCAATGCAAAACAACAAATTAAACAAGAAAGGTAGAGCACTGATGATCAAGGTTGAAATTAAAGTTCTTTCTATTCTGAAGCCTTAGTTAGAGATAAAAGTTAACAGTCATTCTCATGACATTCATTTTTGGCCACCTTGCATGGAAAAGGTCCAT